AAAACATTGCCAATAATTTATGTCTAATCCAACTAATATTTATCAATTTCAGAGAAATCATTCAATTTTAACAGATAGTCTTTTGTTAGTATTAACTATTTTTCCATTTTTGGCCATGTCATAATCTTGCTCCATGGTCATATATTGTAACAATCTTTTTTTCCATTTTCCTTATCTATCAGATCCAATCAGAAATATTTCAGACTTCAACTGAATATCGATCTTCAAAATCTTTGTATTAATACAGTAATACAGAAAACCCTATGAAATTCATTGGGTCACCTTAAGTCAACATATGCGCACAAAGGTTATCCTATATTGCTTTAGAGAGCAGTGGGGCAGAGAATAACTCACCAAGTTATGAACAAAATAGGTTCTGTAGGTTTGTTCTTAAGTTGAATTTGTTTGTAAGTCAGAGCAGATACATTTGTTAACTGTAACTCCAGATATATCAGATATAGCTAGATAGATAGATAGATAGATAGATAGATAGATAGATGATAGATAGATAGATAGATAGATAGATAGATAGATAGATAGATAGATAGATAGATAGATAGATATAGAGGGAGGGAGGGAGGGAGGGAAAGGGAGCACTTTGGATAGCACTTTGGATAGTATAAGGAAGAGCTAACACCTAGTGGTGTTTGTTTTGTTGTCTGTGCCCCTGTTCAAAAGATTTTGCCTCATTTTCATTGGATTTTGAAAAAATTGGCTTGTTATGGAAACAGGATTGGTGGAAAAGCTTCAATGGAGACATCTTTTCCTCCTGATAATTCTTTCAGAAGTGAATTTCCCTTCCTAGGGGTAGATTTCTCTCATTTCCTGTTGTCTCTCCCTGATTGTAATTATGAGTCATTTTTAACTTGGATGTTCATAACTCTGGGACTGCCTGTACTGGATAGTAACATATACATCCACTATCACATGGCATTTGACACAGATTTTAGACATTTCTGAAAAGAGCATTCAGATATACTTATTGATAATAATAATCTAGTTATGAGAGTACTATGGTTTTTATTTGGGGATAATCATATTGCTACAATGTTACATTTTCAATCCAATTACAAACTGAGATGAAGAAGAAAATAATAAAGTTATTACATATCTTCTCTTTGTACATAAGTGGTTTGTGCTGCTATGTAAATTGAGTTCTGCTCATTAAGGCATTCCAGACATTATTAAAGTGTTCTCCTAATAAATGCTTATTTCTTTCCAGGGTACTTCTGATTGAGACTGTTGAACCATTAGGAATAATAAAGGGAATTTGTTATTTGTTTACCTGTTATTGTAAATTTTCAGAAAATCTCTTCTCTTTTCAAAGTAAACAAAAAATAATGTCCACTTAGCCTTAGTAAATTGGGAAGTGGTAGATGAGACAGATTGACAACACTGTTTTCATAAATGTATCCCATTCTGTTATAAAACTAGTTTGTTCTATACCTAAATAAGAAAAATCACCTTCTAATACATAACCTGTTATTGATTAATGTGTCACCAGTAGTGTTTGCCCACACAGGTATTGAACTCAGATTTAGTCATATTTTAATAGACCTCAGAAATAATTCAATAAAATAAAAGAACATGAATAATATTATATAAGAATACATTTTATTATGATGCTGTGGATGATGATACAAAATAAAATCCCAAAGATTTCAACAGGCTTCCCTCTAAGTAGACCTGTCTGAGTAAAGTCATCATAGATATTGGTCTACAGGAGCATCTATAGTTTAGTTTGTAGTTGCATTATATGATCAGTGTATACTCATATAACGCAGTTCAACTGTACTGAATTGCATTGTGAGTCTATGTTGACCATATAATGCAATTTAAGCTGCATTATATGGCAGAGTAGATGTGACCTACAACTTCAGAGAACAAGTTTCAGTTTCTGTTTCAGCCATGGAAACTCTCTAGGTGACTTTGGGCAAGTCACTCCCTCTCAGTCTTGAAGGAAGGCAAAGGACCCCTCACCATGAAAACCCCATGATAGGGTCACCTTGGGCTCTCCATAAGTCAAACATTTTTGGAGGCATACAATAACAACAAACTCTAAATATGCCTGGATCTAACTCTTGGTGGTCTTCACCTACAGTCCCCAGAATTAAATTGTAAGGCAATTGTATTCTCCACCTTCGTCATCACCTCCCTCTCTCTCTTCAGTGTTAAACAGGTCACGTTTCTTTGCTTAAGAAATATTCTCTGCTCATGGAGCTCTTCTGGTTCTTCTTTGCAATACAAAGAAATAGACAAAACGGCTGGATGTCTGAGTTCCTGCTGCTGGAAAGAAAGCTGCCTTCCCTGGCAGTTGAGTGATACCCATGACAGCCACTGGAACACTGGGCAGCCTTGGAAAGAGTGTTGCCATGGCAGCCACAAAAGCTGTGCTGTGATGCAATGCATTGTGACCTGCACCCGGATGTGTGTGGATCCTTTCATCACGGCATTCCATGAAGCAGAAACTGTTAAACCAGTAAAGGAACTACACAGGTTCCTACCATGCAAACTTGTAAGTAGATAGCCCCATGTAGTCCATTGCTTTGGTAAGCCTCCATTAGGTCCTTCAGACATTTCAACCAATATTTTCTTGAGCCAGTTTTGTTTTCAAATGTCTGTAGTCCAAAAAGATATAGGTATTTGCTGTTGAGCTCTTGCAGAAGTCCAGTTTTTTAAAAAAAATCAATTCTTTATCATCCATATTTATTCTTTCAGTTTGATGAGCTAGTGAATGTAAACATTGGTGACATGTGCCTTAGGTTCTGTTTCATTTTATATTTGGTGATGGATGGAGAAAGTGGAGATCTAAAACATCAGTCAAACACCAAGATATGTTTTTTCAGACATTGATCTTTCTTGACATTTTTAACATGCACCCAAAATGGTGAGCTCTAGAAAAACTTCTAGGAATAACAATCCTCTTTTTACATTGGTTGCAATTGTCTCTCACATCCTTATCTTGTGGCACAGTGGGTTAAACCCTTGTGCCAGCAGGACTGCTAACTGACAGGTCAGTGGTTCAAATCCGGGGAGAGCGGGTTGAGCTCCCTCTGTCAGCTCCAGCACCCCATGCGAGGACCTGAGAGAAACCTCCCACAAGAATGGTAAAATGTCAAACATCCAGGTGTCCCCTGGGCAACGTCCTTGCAGACAGCCAGTTCTCTCACACCAGAAGTGGCTTGTAGTTTCTCAAGTTGCTCCTGACACACAAAAAAAAACCTTGGCAAGCATCAAAACATACTGATTTTTCAAAACAAGACATGGACTATGTATTGTCAAAGGCTTTCGTGGCAGAAATCACTGGGTTGTTGTAGGTTTTTTCGGGCTATATGGCCATGGTCTAGAGCAGGGGTCCTCAAACTTTTTAAACAGAGGGCCAGGTCACAGTCCTTCAAACTGTTGGCGAGCAGGATTGTAATTTGAAAAAAACATGAATGAATTCCTATGCACAGTGCACATATCTTATTTGTAGTGCAAAAAACAGTTTAAAACAATACAATAATTAAAATGAAGAACAATTTCAACAAATATAAAATTATTAGTATTTCAATGGGAAGTGTGGGCCTACTTTTGGCTGATGAGATAGGATTGTTGAAGTTGTATGCTTTCAAATCATTTCAGAGTCTTTCCAGCTGTGGTGCTGTGTGAGTTGGACCTGGGGATCGCATCACACAACTTCCGGTCCAAATCCACACAGCTGTCTTGGGATGTTTAGGCTCCTGGAGCAAGAAAATCCCAAGACAGCCCCCTCTCCCTCCCCAAAACCTCTTTTTAAAGTCTTAAAAATTACTTACCTGGCCAGCATTTCCCTCCTGTGGGCCCTCTCCTGGCGCATAGAAATGATGCACGGGGGGGGGGGGAGGAAAATTGCTTATTCCCCCTTCTCCTGGCATATCATTTCTATGCACAGGAGAGGGCCCGCAGCAGGGAAATGCCAGCCGGGTAAGTTTTTTTTTCTTTTTAAGGCTTTTAAAAGGGGGTTTCTTTTGTGTCTGGGTGCCCTGCTAAAAGATCCAGCAGGGCATCTGGTCACACACAAGTACCCCATGAAAGTGTGGATGTTTGTGGATTGTAATGTGGGCCTAATCGGGGGGTTTTAAACCGGATTGGGTGCACATTAAAGTCTCAAACAACCCTAAGGCCTCTTTCTCACAGCTGTATAAAGTCCACATTGAACTGGATTATATGGCAGTGTGGACTAAGATAACCCTGTACAAAGCAGATATTTTAAGTTATCTGCCTTGATATTCTGGGTTCTATGGCCGTGTGGAAGGGCCGTAAGACAAAGTTATGACAGGGTTTTCCCCGCAAGATTTGTTCAGAAAGGTGTGAGCCTTTGCCTTATTTGAGTTAAGGCCCCTTCTACACTGTCATATAATCCAGATGATCAAAACAGATAATACAGATTATTTGATTTGAACTAGATTATATGAGTCTACACTGTCACATAATCCAGTTCAAAGCAGATAATCTGGATTTTATATGAAAGTATAATTTACCTAAGTTTAAATCATACAAACATGGAACTGGAAGAGAACAAAGGGGCATCCAATTCAACCCCTGACATGCAGGAATATACAACCAAAGCACTCCTAACAGATGGCCATCTGTTTAAAACCCTCCAAAGAAAGAGTCGTATTCAAATTGCTACATCACACTGCCTCTCTCAGGCATTAGACTTTTGCATAATTAGGACACCACTGAAATGGGATTTTGTATTCCAGTTCCAAAGAAATTGATGTGCATGCAACTACACCAGGCCTTTCTACTATACATGACTATACTAATAAATGTGCATTTTAGGTAGAACTAGACAGTGTCCACAGTGCAAGAAGAAAGGCTGAGACAACATGCCTACTCAACCTTATTTTGAAGGTTTCCCCACTTCATGAAAGTAATGTGGAGGCATAAATCATTTAAATTGTTAATTGCACGTTACTAAGACAATATATCAAGGAGCTGCCACTAATAAGTCCATATTCTGTATTGAACTAGAGATGCGCTTATACACTCTTGAATATGAAGCTCTCCCATCTCATAAAATGGGGTTTCTGGTTGTGTTTTCTCCTAGAACAGCTATGGTAATAAAAGAGAAAACAAAAAAGAACTATAGCCCATCGGTGGGGCTCAACATGTCATTTGCCAGTGAACCAGACTTTATCTGCTCAGATAAAACTACACAAGCTATTTTTGAGGCTGCTGATGATCAGACCCAATACAAGAAGACAAATTCACACACAGCTCACTTATCGGCACCTGATCAAGAGAAACACTATGTGCTGAAGACAAAAACCAAAGTGAGAGAAAGAGCCTACACAGTCCAGCCAAAAACAGAGTTTGAGAGCTTCCTCCCAAAGGAGAAACAAACAAAAGAGGAAGCAGACAAGAACTTGGAATATCACCTGGGTATCACCTTCCAGCCAGTTGAGGATGTTTTGGATGAGGTATAACCACTGTTTATCAATATAAGGGTTTCTGTTTATTGGCTGTGTTCTCATGCCCCAGATTTTCATCCATCATGACAATAGGCAGAGCTTTGAAGTAATGCCTTGGAAACAATGCTGTATACCTGTAACTCATTATGTGGAGGGATTAAAAGAAATGTGATGTCTGTTTTTTGATGTACTCAAACACGGATTAAATTTGTTATTCCTAAAACACAGCTGGGATGGACATCTTGGAATATTTAAGCCATTTATGTGTTTTGTGTATTTTTTTTAAAGATTAAATTAACTTCAAGATAATGCACTACTTTTAAGCAACATAAATATTTAGCTTTTTAATTGTTTCAGAAACCTCAGAAAAATGATGCAACGGTTACAGGTCAGATACTTTTCGCTGTGGCAAGTCTAAGGGATGCAGACAAAAACAGTATCCAGGCAGCGGCAGCAATGCTGAACTCAGTCTTGAAGAAAGAGAGGAACAAACTGAGAGGAAAGGTAATGTTGGGGTTCAGCATCCGTGTGAACCTGAGCCTCAATCTCTGTGTGAACCTGATTCTCTGATTGTCTTTCCTTATGCAACTGAGCAAGCCACTGAACATGTATCTTTCCCTGATAGTGTTGAAACTGTTGATGCTGAGGTCAGTGGCGGGGAAAGTGAAACTAAACAGCTTGATGAGAATGTTTTAGAATCAAGCCATGATAGCTCTCCAGAGGGAATCACACCTGGGTTTTTTAATGAGGACCGAAGGGAACAGATTTGGAAAAACGGGAGTGAATCACAGTTTCATAAAACTGGCCCAGACATGCAGAAATAATAACGAAACGACCTCAAAACAATAACGAAACGAATACAATATCGAAATACGAAGCATTTACAAAACGTTTTTGAAAATTCGTTTTTTTAAATAATTGCTCCAGAATGGTTCGTTATCGTTTTGTAATTGAAAAAATTAACGAATTATTAACGAATTACGAATTAACGAAACGAAACCACCCAGCCCTAATTCCTAGAAAAGTGTTCTTTATAAGAACTTAATTACTTTTCTTCTTGATTTCAGGTTGTACTGAAATCTCTGTACTGCATGATTTTGACAGTGCACTCCAAGTAACCATTTTCAAGCATACTAGCAACCTAATAATGTAAGGAAATATAGGGCACTACCTAAACACTAAGGGAATAATCTAAAACCATCTTCTCCTTGTTGGTGCTGATATGCCACTATTTCAATTTACCGGCTTCTAACATCTATATAGCAAAAGTAACCTGACAAAATCTCAGTAAGATGCTTTGTTTTTCTTAGTGTGTGTGTTCAAGTCATTTCTGACCTATGGCAATTCTAAGGTGAATCTATCAAAAAATTTCTTATTAAGATTTATTCAGAAGAGGTTTTCCTTTCCTCCCTCTGAGGCTTAGAGAGTGTCAATTGCCCAAGGTCACTCAGTGGCTTCAACGGCTGAGCACCCAAATCCACACCCACCCAAACCTGGGCTTTCCTGGGGGATGTCTAGATGCCTTCCCAGTAACTACAGGGGCAGGAGCTGCTTTGCTTCTGCCCCACCTCCTGGTGCATCATTTTTACGCACTAGGAGGACTGCCAAAGTAACTTCATGGTGACCCAGTAAGTTTGTTAAATTTTTAAGGCTAGTTTGGGGGGGGGCTTCAGGAGAGGGGGTAGGTGTCATCTTGCACCTTTGGGCTCCAGGAGCCCAAAAGTATGGGATGACTGTGGGGACTGACCCCTAGGTAGTCCCAGGAATACCCTGTACTCAGTCCCCACAAGCCCATTCCTGCAAGGCCCATTAGACCCGAGCCTTTAAGTAATGGGGATATTTAATTAATTCACAATAACCATCACAATAATTCTGGATTAATTTGTTTTTACCAGAGACATCATTTGGATGCCTCCTGTAAAAGCCTGACAGGTCCTGCATTTTGGGGCCTGTCTGGAAGGGTCCTAAGTGAATTAGAAATGTGAACAGCCATTAGTAATCAGGAAAGATCCATCAGTGGCAAACTCTTATTTGTTGTTGTTTTGTAGGTGCCAGAGATCATTGATATTATTTATTTCCACATGCGGGCAATCCAGGAACCTAGTGCAAGAGAAGCCGCAATAGGGGCTGTTTGTCTTCTGGCTGAAAGACACACAGAGGAAGCCATCACAAGCCTTTTGAGACTTTCACTGCTTTGTGACAGGTGAGGAGCAGATATTAGGAAACTTCCTTTTTGGGCCAGAACTCCCATAATTTCTTGACCATAAACTTCTCATGCTGATTTAGGAAATCTGGGATTTGAAATCCATGGGAAAATTTCCCCATGATCTAATGAGAAATGGAGTTGCTGTTGTTATTTTTCAGATAAGTGTTTTTAAACTACTCTTTTCTTGTTTAAATGAGTTTAACCAATATGTAAATTATAGTTGAGTCAGATTCTTGATGTACTAGTCATCTAAAATAAAACAAATTGACATACCAGGAGACATATCTTGCTCAGTCTTTGTGTTCTTCAAAAGAACATATAGATCTAAAAGTTAGAAGACAAGAATTCAGTAAGTTATACCAGCTTTGGGTTCATCGCGCTTATTAAGTCCTTTTTCTACCATAAGAAAACAGCCATACAGTCTGCAGAGCCCTCAAGTGGCCACACCATCCTTTGCATCACCCCACAAGAAGCTGTCTCACTGTACTTTAGTCTAACTGGCACAGTATATATAGTGTTCATAGTCCTTCAAAAACTCTCACGTTCTGCAATATGAATGCAAAGAATACTTGCAGTTTTCTCCTTCTAAAGAAGAGACAGTACTTCGACATGAGACAATCCAACAGGAATGGATGGATGGAGACAGATATATAGAGAGATATCACAGTGATAATAGCACATAAAATTATATATTTATACAAAATGTCATTGTTTCTGTGCAAATTTTTGGCAAATGAATATTTCAACAAACCAAATCCTAAAATGTGAAAAATCCTCAAAAACTCTCATAATTTCCCTGACTGGGGGAAAATGTTTCTTGTTCTTGAATGCAAAGGTGGAATAAGGAAAGATTTACACGACTGCTTTAGAGTTTGAGACCAAGAACTTTCCTAGTTCTAAAGAAAACTACAAAGAAGTGAACCTAAATCCTTAGGAATGCAAAGTATTTGATTTACCAGTGAGCTTTATCTGTATCTCCTTAGCAAGCTCTTGAGCTGGAGTTGTCACATATAGAACTTTGCACACTGAGGTCATTAGGGATCTGCGTGCTAAAGCAACATATTCACTTTCCTGGCTTTGATCCATGGGATCCATGCTTTAAAGAGCTTTCACAAAAATCAGGGGATTAAAAAAAACAATTTTCCTGAAGTCTGCAATCCTAAATACATTTAAATTCATTTACTATGTAATAATCCTAAGTGAACACAATATGACTTACTTTGGAGTAAGAACCCTATCTAAATGTCGAGCACAAAGATTGCCACTTTCAAAGCACTGTGTTATCAGGTCGAACCCTGGAGGCACACTTAGGCTGTTCATGGAAGACTAAATATTGACCAAATTACTGTGTTCTGTTTACATGATCCATTTTATGTTGTTTGCATCCTAGCACACTGGCCAATGTAGCCCTCAGGGCGGTTATCTGTGCTATAGTATTTTGCCAAATAAATCCTTATCCTCTAAAAGCAATACAGGGTACAAAATTACACAAATAAAGAATGGCGATTTCAGAGAAAACATGCCTCAACACTGTACAACAAGAGCTGAATGATAGGCCACAGCTAGGCTGTCTGGTATAATTTGAGAGCTGCAACTAGACTGATAAAAAAAAATCTAGACACCAAAGCAAACAGAACAAAGTTTCTCATTGAAAAGGTGAGCAAACACTTTGGCAGCAAAGTGACAGATCTGCAGCATATTTATTTTATTATTTTAATGGTTTTCTACCCTGCCTTTCTCCTGTGCTTATTCTTTTTCTAAGGACACTGTGTGTGCGTACGTGTGTACATGTGCGTGCATGCATATGTGTGCATTTGACAAAGATGCACATTAGGCCACACTTGGGTAGCAAGAGAAAGATCCATTTTTGTATTTGTGTCTTTTTCTGGTTTGATTTTTATTTGATTTCAGGCATATTACTCAAATTTGGGAAGGCCTGGGCCAAGCTAAGCAGCCTGTCAGACTCCAGGTTCTGGCAAAGCTTCTTGAAGTGCTCAAAAGAAGACCTGGCCTCAGCAGTGAACTCCCAGAGTCAGACCCAACATCAAAGGAAAATTCTCCCCTTCTGCCTCTAGCAGTGAGCAACAAAAGAATTCCTATTTTCTTGCCTCCAACTGTATGTGCCATGCAAATCTGTAGACAGTCTTGTCTTGGTTCTAAAAAAAGATGCACAACCAGACTGTAGAAAGTTACTTGTTCAAAAGTAATTAACTGCAGTTCAACTAGCAAGCCCATAAAGTAATTCCATTATAGTTATAATTTTGAAATGCAGCCTTTTCCAGTCCAGGAACTATGTTTAGTACTTTTTTAGGGGGATAAGCTTAACATAGCAAACTGCCCGTTGACCTGTTCCTGCCGTTGTGATCTCAACATCTGCAGCAGAACCCTGTGATATTCTCTCACTTTAATTTAATAAGACCACATCCCTGTAACTACACATTTAATTAAAAGGTGGAGCTAATATTGCAAAAGGAATTATGCTGCTCCATATTAAGCTACAAATGTAATATAATAATAATAATAATAATAATAATAATAATAATAACTTATTTATTTGACTAGTCATGTGACCATTTTAAAATACAACACTAATAAAATACAAGGCAAAAAGGAGAGGACTGTAATGTATGTATTTATATATGAGTTACCATGCATAAACCAAAAATAAGTAACTTGCTATGGTTGCTCATAATATTACTTTCAAGCTCTATACATGACTGATGTCACTGTATAACTGAAAAATCCACATTTCAATAGCAAAATAAAGTGCATTTCAGGGTTCTGCTTTTAGGTACAGTATGGTTCCTGCCTTGCACAGTGCATTCTGGGAGGTAGTAGCAGTTCTACAGATTCCTGAACAGTAGTGCTTTGAATAGTTCCCATGTCACCAGCAAACATGTTTTCAAACTTTAAAAGAGCAATCAAAGATGCTGGATCAAAGGACACATCAAAGATCCCTTTTCACCAAATAGGCTCAGGACCTTGGATGGTTCCTTTAAAAATTTGTACTGTTTTGTTCCAAGCTAATCTTAATATCTTAATTCTGACTATGCTATTGGTTGTGGCAATGCTAAATATCCAATGTGGATTGTCTAGTTTTCAAAATAATCCAAAACATGCCCAACACTCAAAAACCTTCACTAACTCAGCACTTTCTATACACATAAGGCTAAAATTCTAATTTTTTTTCCTCTCAACATGCTTAATGTAGCCTGATCCATCTGGGGGGCACAAGAATGTGAGATGATGGCAATAAAACTGGTGTATAGTGGGGGAAAATGTGAATGTTGCTAGGATCTCTTTGCTACAATAGTTTTCATAGAAGTTATACCTCTGTTTAATCCATACTAATCCTTTCTTTAAACCACAGTGAGCAGAAAAGAAAAATTATGAATAATAACTATTTGTGTCAGAGCAAATGGCTTGTTCAGAATTATGGTTATGAGTTTGAATACAATTTTATTTCAGGCAACAAAGGCCCTGTGTATAATATTTAGGGATAAAAAGTGCAAAGTGCCTATGAACAGCTTTTATGTGTCTGTCATCATCTTCCTGGTTATTCAGCTGCATTATCTGATGGACTGTTCAGATATTGACTATGGACAGGAGGAAATACTCCAATCATCAAGCTATATAAGGTAACAGCTAGTGGGATGCTAAGCAGGTACATATTGGATTATTATTATTATTATTATTATTATTATTATTATTATTATTATTTTATACCCTGCCTCCATCTCCCAGAAGGGACTCGGGGTGGCTTACAAAGGGACATGCCCAAACAAATACAGGTTAAAACAAACCCACAAAAAATGGTCAATATCAAATATCAATAAATATAATATCAAACAACATTTTACAACAATTAAAAACAATATCATGGCTGAACAACAAAATGCTGAGTACGGCTCAGTGCCTAGGGGAAAGAGCAACAATTGGAGGGCTGGGCTAGAAGGCTATTGTCCTTAGACTATTAAGGTGTTAAAAGTGCAGAAAGGGACCATGTTAAAGTGAAGGAGCTGGATAGGTTGGGAAATTCTGTAGTGAGCTGCCTAATCAAAGGCACAACGGAACAGCCAAGTTTTTAATTCCTTGCGGAAGATGGAGAGAGTGGGAGCCTGTCTGATCTCCCTGGGGAGGGAGTTCCAGAGCCAAGAAGGCCCTTTCCCTTGTCCCCACCAACTGAGCTTGTGAAGGTGATGGAAGTGAGAGAAGGGTCTCATTTTCTAACACTAATTTTTCTAGTTTTTAAGGAAAGAGTCAGGGTTATTGTCCCTGTTATTGTCATGCTGTCCATGAGAACAACTATCATTAAATCATGAAGGAAAAAAAGTCATAAGGTATCTTTAAGACTACCTAAAATATTTCAGCACAAGTTTCTGTGGACTGTATCCCACTTCACAAAAACATATGCTGAAATAAACTGTTTGGTTTTAAAAGTGCTACAAGGCTACTTTTTTCTTTCCTTTTTAATACTGAAACAGACTAACATGGCTGTGTATTTTGATATCATGACTGACATGTCCTCGAGTAAAAAATTCCAGTCTTGACATCTGTCTGTTCCACTATCACCAAACAACTTCTTGGTTGAGTTCTGGGTTCACTCACTTGGAATAAGACCAACTGGTCGAGAAGAATTTAATTCCATGGGTTGGATGTTAATTTAGTAATGCTTTGAACAGATCCACTAAAATCAATGGGATTTAATTTAGTGACTAAATCAAATCCTGTTCATTTCACAGGTCTTGTTCTGGGCATTATTAATTCTAGATTCATTTCATGGAATTAAATTCTTCTGAATGAATTAATCTTTCTTCTAACTAAATATATTAAATTCTATTGATGTAAACAGTCTACCCTAAGCATGACAAGTCATCCAGCTCCATATCCTTATTAATAGTTGTCACATGTCAAACCTGTGTGTCACAAGTCAATCCTGTGTGTGTGGAAAATTCAGACTCACAAAATTATTATTATTATTATTATTATTATTATTATTATTATTTATACCCCACTTTATGTCCCTCGAAGAGGACTCAAAGCGGCTACATAGCAACACCACAATTGGTAGTGACTTCAAAAAAATGCTTAACCAATATGCCATTGCAATGTTGGATTCCCAAAGAATCCAAATAATGAGGTATATTCCTTAATTATGAATGGTAATTCATTTCAGTTAATTCTAAGTGGAATTGTCATTTTCATGTTCTCACTACCAACTGCATCCTGATACTATCAACTGAAATTCATATCTACTATAGTTCTGCTTGTGAAAACTTGTTTGTCTCCTATCCTTCAGTGGCTATCTGTAGCCTTGTTGATATAACTTAATTTAACACATGAAAACACAAAAATGGCACATGCTTATTATGTCGTATAAAAATGGCTCTGCCTACACTCTGCTACAATAAGATCAAAGAAAGGCACAACCTTGTCTGTCTCTCTACTTTCATCTCTGTCATCCATTTGTCTGTTTGAGGATACACTTATCTTCACATGGGTGTATCTATTAAAAGATATGTTATCTCTACACATGAAGTTTTTTCTTGTTAGATCTCCTGGTTAATTAAAATGACATGAAAACTTTCACTGCTATGCCATGCTGTGGAGCAAGACATCTCTTTTGGAAACCATTTTTCATAGAACACACAAACAAGCTATTATTCTTCAGTTGGGCATGAGTTTCCCTTTCCCTCATAATTGTACCCTAGACATCATTCAGGAAATGAAGGAAAAGAGGGGGGAAATATTCAATTGGTATCTAAAAGAGAGAGAAAGGGCTCCAGTTGGCAGAACATCTCACTTGCAGTAGCCAAGGGCGCTTCTAGACAGCATCAAAATTCAAATTAAATAAGTAAGTTTAAAAATTGTGGGACCTGACAGCAAGTCAGTCCTGTCAGTCCCAGGAAATGGTTGCCCACTGTCCTGGCACCTTTCATTGTAGCAGATTGTACAAATCTAGTAGATTTAAAAAAATTATCTCCAAGATGTGGTAGATCTGATATGCACTCATGCAGGTATCTCAATGTACACACAAGAAGATTTCTTATTCTCTCTCCTCACCCAACTATAAATTCAAGCTCTGTTTAATATCATAAAGATCAAACAAAGGAATGGTTGCAGAGAGTTCTGATTGTAATTGCTTTCCAATTATGCTTTCGTTTAGCCACCTATGCATCCTGGCTCCATTTTTTAACAGCCCAGATCAGCTCTTTGGGGCTTTTAAAACCTACACATGTGCTGGAGCAATCCACACCAGGGTATAAGAAGGAAGTCACATATTTTCTGTGATTGCATGGATATACAGTCAAGTGAATATGCAAATTTTTTGGCCACAATTGGGTTTTAAGCACACCTTTTAAACACATGCTTTTCAGCTGTTCACCTGATTCAGCCCACACTTTTGCGAAACATCATTTAACCACCACCCCTTTTATCCTTTTGTCTTCTGGGTTTATGGCATGTGTAGAGTCCCTTTATAGCTATGAGTGAGGAAAGGAATAGCTATATCACACTTCATTCTTACAAGTCAAGTTTGGAAGGAATTACTTTCTGGATGACTTATAATGATGATGCTTTTCCAAAGCAAAGAGTGAGAGAAGGGGAAAAACAGAAAAGACAAGCAGCTGCAGCTCCACATTTCTGGAGTCATTTTGTCCACTTTCCTTCATCCCTAAGAGGAAAGAATTAGAATTCAGATCAAAATTAGACAGGCTGATTGAAGATGGTAAGTGGGGAAAGAGAGAAAGAGAAAGACAAAATTTACGCTACAAATCTATAAATAGGTTTGTAGATTATGATTACAACTTCAAAAAAAACAGAAGCCAGTTTAGGTGGAATCTCTTTTCCACCTAAAAACATTCGACCTAAATGTTAGGGAAAATCTCCTGATGGTTAAAGTTGTTTGACAGTGTAAAATGCAGTGTGGTGGAATCTCCTTCTCTGGAGATTTTTAAAGAGAGGTTGAGTGGGTGTCTATCAGGAGTGCTCTGGACTGGACTGAACTGGACTGGACTGGACTGTCGGGGTTGGACTGGATGGCCCATGTGATCTCTTCCAACTCTGTGATTCTAGTGAAATCCTAGATATGAGATTTACTACCACATAAAACAGGGTTGTAGCTAAAGTTATCCACAGATACACTGTGTAAATCATGGAGAAATTCAAATGAAACATATTCTAGGAAGCATTCAACTGATTCCCGAATACAAACCACCCACTGTTGAAACAGCTCCATGGGCTTCAGATTTGTTTCCAGGCCCAATTCAAGGAGGTGGTTTTAACCTATAAAGCCCTGCACGGCTTCAGTCCAGGTTACTTGAGACACTGTGTCCTCCATTACAGACCAGGCAGACCTTAAAGGTCTAGTAAGGACACTCTCCTCTCCATACAGTCCAGAGCCAACAAGCATTTAAAAGCCACCAGAGGAGGCACATTCTCGGGTGCATCTCTGAAGTTATGGAATTCACTGCCAGAAAAAGTTAGATCAGCTCCCACACTGATGTCATTTAGGAAAGGTATGAAGACCTTCCTTTTTGAAGCAGCTTTTAGTTGAAGCCAGGCATTTTACAGTTGAATGTGGAATTTTAGACTGTTGTCAATTTTTATGGTTTATAATATAGGGTTTCTGTTTTTAACTATGGTTTTATGTTCTATGCATTTTTAAGATGTTGTGAGCTGCCTTGAGTCCATTCTGGAGAAAGGTGGCATAGACATCTCCAAAATAAATAAATAAATAAATAAATAAATAAATAAATAAATAAAATATAGTTATTAGGTGTGTGCAGTTCAGGTAAATCACAATCCGTTTCAATGTCCCAGATTTTGCTGGGGAGTCCTGATCCGTTTTTCAGGAGCCTCTCAAATTTGGGAGGACAGAAATCCATTTTTGATCCAGGAAGCCAAAAGATTCATTTTCTATCCGGCACATTGGCAGCAATGGAAGGGACTTCCCAGGCTCCCCATTATTTTAGGCATCGTTTGACCTTATATCCTTCATTAAGACCTTTCTGCAATCCTTTCCCTTGGGTCTGTACAAGAGATGTGTGTTTAATAAAGGACTTAAGAAACCTGGGATCCTTTCTGTCTTTAGAGGAGACCTGGTTTATAGAAAGGGCTTAAGAAACCTCACTTCCTGCGATTCTTTCCTTTCTGTCTTTAGAGGAGACCTGAGTTTAAAGAAAGGGCTTGAGAAACCTTGCTTCCTGGGATCCTCCCCCTTCCATCTTTAGTAGAGACCTGCGTTTAAAGAAAGGGCTTAAGAAATCTCGCTTCTTTGGGTCCTTTTCTTTCTAGCAGCTGCCTCCCTCCCACACACAATGTGTAACCAAAAGAAACTGAAAGCAGCTAGTTTTTGACAGCCACTGTTCTGTTGCAGCCAGTTAAAATGGGCTTCCAAACCAGCCAAACAAGCCAAACAAGTCAAACAAGCCAAAGGCAAACATTCAAAATGAATCTGTGCACAAGTCTAATGGTTATTCCTGCCCCTATTTCTAAATTCATCAGGACTTCCCACACTCCTCTGCATAAAGACTGAGCTTATGTTGCTTTTGCCCTGCCATTTCTTTAATCTACTATTCTTGATCAGGAGATGAACTGATTTGTGAAATGGAAGATTGTTTAACCATTCAATCAACATTGACAGCAATTTCATGTATCAGCAGTACACATATGATTTCTATCATGGAAGCAGCCTATGAAAACACTGCAGTAAAAACCTATATTGGGGAAACAATCCTCTAAATCAGTGATGAGGTTCATGTAGATTTCCAGATGTTTTAAGAACTGCAGCTCCCTTATTTCTGAGAAGAAATCATTTCTGAAACATACAGAATGTTGAAACCTGCATTTGTAAAGACTTTGTCTGTAAAAGCAGCAAGCTGTGAATTACAGGCATCAAAACCTGAAGATTCAGCCAATGCCACCTGTCAAATGCTTTTCTTGTCCTAAATGCAGCTGTACCATGGAAGCTTTAAAAGCCTTAGTCAAAAGGGAGACGACTTCTCGGGCATGTTTTGCAAGTCTAACTGGAAGCTGGGACCTCCTGTCTTCACCAGAGAATTATCTCGAAGGTGTTCTCCTTTTGGCCAGGTAACTAAGGGAAGATCTGAATTTGTTTCTCAGCTCAAAATCTGTATAGAATCCCCCAAATATGTCCATATGTATTATGTCATTCCAGAGCCCTTGTCAAACATCACCGTGGGCTTGACTATGCTGTATTTACCAAGGTGATTCCACTTCTCCATCACGGGGATGACAAACAGAAGCTGACAGCAATGGCCTTTTTCACAGCAGTAAGTTTAGGACATTTTGGAATCTTTTACTGTTGGCTCTTTTGGGGAAAGATACAATCTTAGGAAACTATGATGGGAAACTGCAAGCAAAATCATGACCATGTGTGTCAGTACACTGCTGACAAGCATATGTATGTGTGTCAAAATTTTGGCTTCATTTGTCATCAGAAGCAAACTGAGTAATGCTAATACATTTTGCTGACCAAAGTGAAGAACAAGAAATTGTCTTCCCTTCAAATGATTCCACCTAAAGTCAGTGATGGGACAGCATCCTCCACCATGCTCAAGGTCAGCATGCTAGTTTAGGAGGCACCAAACATGGCACATATAGCTCTGTGTCCTCAGTATTTACTGCTTGAGGCAGCTTACTCACTCTGCCTAAATGATAGGATTGGTGCTGTTAGGCAGACAGTAGTTAAAAGAGACAAACAATAAGAGAGAAAATCTTAATGCCAGCCCTGCAAAGTTCCTCTTATTAAAAGTTTTGGGACTTGGGGAAAGAGGGACACTCCCTACTCATTAGGTAGAACTTCAGCAATAGCTGAGAATAACTATATTCCATTGTTCTATTTCTATAGCTATGATGAATAGGAAAAGTTCTCCATTTCTCATCATGCATTTACTTTACATTTTTAGCTTCTGTCTTCTGAGTCCACCTACACAGTGCTTCAAAAACATTACATTTTGGGGCTCTTAAAGAACTGGCTGGCTGATTCGAGTGCAACTTACCGCTGGCTCAGTCTCCATGGAATGGGCAATGTGGCTCATCATCTACAAAATGTGCGTAATATCGATGCTTTGCCTCCTCCATTTAACATACCATATTATTTTATTTTACTGTTAAAACAAATCCTAGCTAAAAGTGAGCTTTGGGCAGTGAACCGAAATAAACAGGCTCTTTCTGCATGAATAAAACATGACTTAGTGAAATCAAAACATAAAAAGAATATGTTTTACAAATTTGAGAGCTGTAGAATTTGTGTTGCCTACCAAGTATCAGGCCTAAACATACATGAAGTGGGTCAGAAATGGACTTTCCATGCACATGTGACTTCATTTATAAAGACTTTAACAGCATAGGCTGACAGCCTGTTGAGGAGTTACAAATGAGTAACCAAGCAAGACTCCCATAGCTGTTCACTTCAGTATTTATGTTTATGATTGTGGCAGCTTTCATAGCCAGCAGCTTTATCAAGCAACAGAGATCTGTTGTGCTGATGATCATTGTGCAGCAAGGTAACATTTCTAGATGTTTCCCATCAGCAAACTGCAGTGCTAGTAAGAGTTGCAATAGTGATTTGTCACATCACAGATTGATGTTGTGCAGAGATGGAAACATCATCCTGCTGTGCACCAATTGCAAGCAGGCTAGACCTCTGTCACCCAGTGAAGCTGCCAGCTAGTTTGAGGAGACAGGTCAGGGAACTATAGATACATTTGTACTTACACCTGTGATGTAGAATCTCTGCCACTAAGTTTTAAAAAAAACAAGTTATGAATACAAGGCATCAAAACCATAGGATTCCAATGAACACTAATACCACAAGCCAAACTCTTTTCTGGTCCTGAATCCAGCTGATTATAAACAAACTAATGTGAAAAGTAATGAGTAATCACAACTAGAATTTGTCATTCTCAGATTTGAGTGAATATGTGAAAGTCAATTGGGCTATGTTTTAAAAGCCCAGCAGGTACTTGTAATCCATGCAGTGTTCAATACATTCATTTGAATAGTGTTTCTGTTTGGGCACTGGAGACACCATTTTAGAGTTCTACATAAAACCTTGCATTTTGGAAGAGGTGCTAAAGCTTTTATTTTTCACATTCTGAGATACTAGATGCCAGAAGGCTATATTTCAGAGGAAGGCATAGGCAAACTATCTCTGAGTATTACTTTCCAGGGGAAACCTTATGAAATTCATGGGATCACCATAGTAGCTCTGCTAGACATATAAGACAATGAGAGTTTTACTATTTTGTTATTTCTTGCTTTGTTGTTTTATTATTTTGATTGTTAATAAAGAAACAATGAATTCATTCTGATGTCTTTTAGAAGAAAGAACTTACTGCCCTAATCCTCAATATCCTCCCAAGTTTTGATGACTCTGATGAGAAGGTGGCCTCGACAGCTATGGAGGTCATAACGAAAGTCATGGTGCAACAGAAGATCAATGTCAACCTATATGTGAAAATTACCAAGCAGCTTCAGCCATTCCTGGCCGATGTAAGCATGACAAGAATTTCTGATTAATGTTACAGAGACTTTTTAAATAGATAGAAAGATTAAAGGGTGAATTCAGGGAGTCTTTTCTATAATACTGTGTTCCCTAATATTAAGGGAGTATTTGTCAGCCTTTGACATAGTACATTCTGCCCACTTATGGAAAGTAGCACATAGGGAAAGCAGGTTTCAGTATGATCATAAGCATTGCCTTATGATATTTCCTCCTCATTAGTCAACTCAAGAGTTTTTGTAATTAAAAAGAGTTCTTGCTACTCAATCAAAACAGTGTTCAATGAGACATTATTCTTTTTACATAAGAAATACATGTAATATATACATATTTTCCATGGATTTTGCCATAGATAACAAAATTGCAAGTCATCATTGACCTGTTCAATTGAAAACATAAAATGGCGTCCAAGGACCAAGTGAGTCCTCAGTCTTTCTTATAGCCTTTATAATCCGCTTAAAGAGTATAGCTAACTAGGAAAATTGTGTATCAATTTATGTTTTGCTCCTGCTGAAAAAGAAACTTCTGGTCTTTCTAAAGCAGAACAGCAGGGCAATTAAAGTGAGATTCATCCATGTCAGTCTTCGGTCGGGCTTGTAGCTTCCATGTGTACTGGATGTTAAATCTTCCCCAGTGCTTAATCTGAATTTTAAAGGAGCTATTCAAGGTTATGATCCACATTCTCCAAATCCCCCAAAGTGCAGCCCTTTGGCTAGCTTCTTTAAAATTTGGACCGAAAAGCAGAGTTGGATTATTGCCCCACTGACATAGCTACCAATGGTCACTGGCAATTTCCCAAGAACTTATGTCCCTCTGCATGGTCAACAGGACAGTTCTTTCCCTACAAGATAATGGAGAGGAGATGATATTATGGTTTGGGTGCCAGAAAATATCACCAACCTAAAATTGTGAAACAAAAGCTCAGACTTGCATTCAAACTACGGCACATTGCCTGCCATTTTAGTAGATAGCTAAAACCAATGGTTTGCCCACTCACTATAACACATGGATCTAGCATTACTTCTCAAAAGTAGAAGCCAAATTATAAGAGGCAATGTACATGCAATCCAGTCCAGTGTGTTTGTGCTCAGAAGTAAAACTGTTTTCACGGGCATTTACTCCCTTAGAATACCAGCCTTCAGAATGTTTGAGTCATCCCTCATTTTTGATACTATATAAGCTAAGGGAAATAAACAGAGCTTAAAATGTACTCTGCAGGTTTCCTGCTAGTGGTGAATGTCAGGTTATGATATGTGCATCTCTTACAGGTAGGTCATCAAGTAACGACTTTCCTTTTTTCTGTCATTCCTAGGGGAGGTACAAAGTAAGCTGTGCTGCAAATAGATTGTTTCAAGACATACTTAAAAACATAGATGCAAAAGACAAGTATGCTATGCAAGACCAGGTTCTCACCGCTATTGTTACACTGATGGTGAATCTGCAAGAACTAAATCTGGATGGAGGCAAGGTAAATGAAATTATGCCTATTTGCAATGTAACATCTCCTGCCAAATGTACTTCATGAGGGCTGAAATCTAAACACTGAAAGTAGAGAATAAATGTCCCAGCCTCCTGGGTCAAGGACACAACCATTCCCCATGCATTAGCAATGAAACATAATTATGTGCTCCAAAAGGACTGGTCCTACCCTCAGGCAGAGTAGACTGGCTATTATTATTATTATTATTATTATTATTATAAACACAACAAGATTAGTACACAGCAAACAAGATCACTATGCTGGCTGTTGTATTGGATAACACATTGGACACTTCCCAAGTGTCTAGGACTATGATGTATCTGCAAATAAAGCATGCAGATCCCATTAGGTTGTCCTTTTGCAGCTGCCAGATGGTAATTTTGTCAGTACCGATTGTGTTTAAGTGCAGGCCAAGGTCTTTAGGCACTGCATCCAGTGTGTCAATCACCACTGGGATCACCTTGACTGGCTTGTGCCAGCATCTTTGCATTATTATTATTATTATTATTATTATTATTATTATTATTATTATACTGTTTTATCTCCCTGAAGTGACTGGCTTGTGCCAGAGTCTTTGCATAATAATAATAATAATAATAATAATAATAATAATAATAATAATATACCGTTCTATCTCCCTGAAGTGACTCATATGGCTACCAAAGACAGCATAGCATGAAGGGCAGCAAATACTTGGTTTAATAGTTCTTGTTGGTATTATTACAGCCAAAGACTGAGAGCCACTGCAGGTTTTTCTCCTCCTGTGCCAGGATAATTGGGCTAGTTTTGAGTACTGTGCTCATCAGGAAGCTAAATAACTTGGGCTGACTCTGTGTTACAGAACAATTTGACTGTACCTTCCAAGGGACCACCCAGATGAGGGTTTGAGCTTACTATTGGTATAAGGTACTTCAGTAAATGTTGCACATTCCCATAACACTTCATTAAAATAGTCTCATCAAAATGGCACCCAGTCACAGTGGAGTCCTGAATTAAGGCTGAGCAATTGGGAACCCCGGAGATCACTATACAGGGAGCATGATGATGAAAATGCAGTTGGCCCTCCACATTCGTTGATGTTAGAGGTGCCAGAACCATGTGAAAGGGTAATAGCTGCAAATATTGTACAGTGGGAGTAGATGGCTCCTGTTTGTGGTGAGCACAAAGAAATATGCGCCTCACTGCTGGCTCCCAAAGGCTGCATCTGTGAGCACATTCTCAAGGCAGTCTTGTCTTCAGGAGGTGGGGAAAAGGCAATATAGCCTGCCTCCTGAAGATGGAGCTGGCCTAAGGAGGTGGATGGGTGTGATCATTGCTTCTGCCCATCTCCTGATGTGTGAATGGTGACAGGACTGTCCCATCTTCAGGAAATGGGCACAGTGCAGGCAGTGATCCCTCTCTTCCCCACCCACCTCCTAAGAAAGGGACTGCTGTGAATGTTCATATACTCCAGTATAAGTGGTGCTCTTGGCAGGACAGAAAGAGAGAAAAGCAATTGGGGCAGGGGGTGGTTAAACTAATCAAAGTCAAAAAGAGTGGCCCCTCAGGCTGAACCTACATCTACATTGCCATATAATCCAGTTCAAAGCAGATAATCTGGATTTAGAAACTGGATTGTATGACATATGTTTCACTGTCCCCAGATAACATCTTTCAGTTGTTGGCTCCAAGGAACGTTTAATGTAAGTGATTTTAAGGATATTTATTGTCAAAGAAAACTCCTACAAATGTCTGTATTGTGATACCCTATGGGTTGCCCACTATCCTTTACTTCTGAGGGGGTTGCACAGACATTTCAATGAGTATAGCATGAGACTTCCTTAGATCAGAACTTAATGTGAGAATATTGGGCTTTTATGTTTTTCTGATTGTTCAATGCCCACTAAACAGAGCATGGGAATCTATTTGTTTGGAATTGTGAAAACTAAATAGTAAGTAGGTGCAAGCTTAATTTCAGGGGTGGGTTTTAAAATAATGAGATTGGAATAAAGATCATTTGATTTTCTTAGCTCTCAGATGGCCATGAATATTCCCATCAAGAAGACTGGAAAATTTCTCTTTAAAATTAAAGCTCAGTAATTATGGTAACAGTCATTCCAGAAAGAACAAATAAGCTATACCGAAAAAGCTGTGGGATGCTGGCTGTGGTTTTAAGTACACCCTGTGTTAAGTCAAATATACATCTATAACATCTCCCTCTGCCTCTCATTCTCTTTTCTTTCACTCACTCACACACACACACACACACATTCCACATTCACATTCACATCGAGTTTTAGGGAAACTTCTTGTCTCTACTTGTTTTACAGAGTCGTATGGACAGCTTGCAGGAATGCAAAGTCTTTCTGGGATGGACAACAAATGACAACGAAGACTCTTGGGACATGATTTGCAAGCAGCTCGTAAGGCCATTTAAGCCCTGTGCTTCTTTTCATGCTATCTGCTAATTTCATACCTGTTGATTTCAAATATATCAAGAAACATGTTAGGCAGAGAGAAAGAGGCTTCCTTCAAGCGGTATAAAGAATTATATGGCCCATGTACATATAATATGTGATGATATGGCACTTACTGACTGGCAACCTATTAATAATGTATGAAAGCATAAAGATTGTGCTTCACACGCTGAATGATTTTTAGAGTATATGATGGTCATATTCAGCTGATGGCAGTATTTGTGGAATTGTGAACATGGGACTAAAGGCAGTCTCTGAGTTACAAATAACTCATAGTTAAGAATGGGGGTGAGACAGCAGGAAATGAGATAACTCTACCTCTAGGAAGGGCAATTCACTCTTGAAAGAGTTATCATGGGGAAAGGGCATCTCCAATGAAGCTTTAGCAGCAATCCTTGTTTTCACAACAAGCCATTTTTTTCAAAATCCAATTATCATGGGGACAGAAAGTGAGGTGAAATCTTCTAAACAGGAGCACAGACAAGCAAAGGAAACACCACAGAGGTGTTAACGCTTCCCTGTGGTATCCAAAGATAAATAGATAGATAGATAGATAGATAGATAGATAGATAGATAGATAGATAGATAGATAGATAGATAGATAGATAGATAGATAGATTTAGGCTGGAGTTAAAGTTGTAAAATGTACCTGTTCCAACTTATATACAAATTCAACTTAAGAACAAACCTAAAGAACCTGTCTTGCTCATAATTTGAAGACTGCCTGTATAGTGAACGCAGTAGCACATTAAAGTATACAGAGAAGCATTTGCACTTGACCACTATGCATTGCCTTTGGTCATTACCCATGGCAATTGCACATGACTTGTCCACCATGTATATTTATCGCCAATATTTCTATCTTGGTATACAGTACAGGGACTGTAATTCTGCCAGTAGATAGATATGTTAAATTGAAATTATGCAAAATCTCAGCTACTTCATAGTGTAGGAAAATGGTCTTCTTCCAGCTGTTTTGCAACTACGAAGAGTTTATTGCTGTCCAGTTCCAAGGGGAAGATAGTTTCCAGTCATGGTCACAGTAATATTGGCAGTGTTTCACCAATTTGATTGCTGGTTCAGAGGTTGGGTGGGTGTAGTTACACAAATATACCTAAATTGACCAGTGCAAAAGTAATTTCCTGATTAGATTAACTAAAATTTATAGAGAAACTAAAGGCACCCATTCTGAATTTTTGTGAATCTTTACTCAACAGGGTGGCATTATTACTGAATATGCAAATTTAATCTCACAATGTTTAAAAAGGCATTTAAAACATAAGTACCTCACCATTTGTCATTTTTCTGATCCATGAGCTGAATCAGACAGTACTTCCTAGTCAATTTTAGCCCACTATGTAAAGGAAAATCTAAGTAGATTCGCCTCCTTATTGACAGAGCAAGTTTGTCTCTAATATCCATGGCTAGTAATATGAGGATGTTACACTAGAATTGATAGAATATATAAAATAGAAGTAAAATTCAACATATATTGTCCAAAGCTGACATGGCTGATTCCTGGATTTACTTATTGGTTGATTTATCTTGAGGAAGACACTCTCACAATTGTGACTTGCATGCATCGAATTTTACATGCACAACATGTATTGAATTTTGATATTCCTGCATGAAATACTAGGGATATCAGAAGCAGAGCTGATTGGTACAGCGGTTTATAAATAAAATATTATTATAGGTGATGGAGGGGGTATGTATGTGCTTGTTTCCTTGTACATGATTAATCAGACCAAAGAAGCACTTGCCAATCTAGCTGTTTGACTTAAGAAGTTTAGCTTTTGCTTCTTAAATTTCCCTTGTCTCCTTTTAGCAGACAAAATTTCCAGTGTAATGTTCATCAAATCATTCACATTCTAGGTTAAGGAGCACCCAGGAAAATTGAGAAGGTTTCTGAACCAGGCACAAGACTATCGTCAAAGTCCTCAGAAGTCTTCAAGATCTGCAGCCACCATTTTTATAGGTAAGGGTGTGTCCATGGTGTTGCTTGTCAACTTATGGCACCTCATGAACTTCCTAAGTTATGTCAGTCATGGAATACTTAGATTTGTCTGTTCCTTCCTCTAAAATATAATTTGTAGCACTTAGTATTTGTTGGAGGTTTCCCATCCGACTATTGACATGGGCGGACCTTGTTTAGTTTCCAAAATGAGATAGGATCTGATGCCTTTAAGGTATTTAGGCCAGTATTTTTATAAGTATAAAGTAGTCTTGGAACTGGAGAGGGGAACAGAGATGGAAACAATTGTATGGAAAGATCTATAAAAAGAGGTACAAAGAGGGATACAACTTTATAGAGGTACCTATTTTTATAGGTGCTTCCATAAAATTGTTTCCATTTTTATTCCTCACTTTAGACTTTGTACAGGGGTATAAGGAATATTGTCCTTTTGTTCTGTAACCAATGCCATCCTGTGCAAATTTAGGTCTCCACTGCCATGTGTTTTAAAATGATTATAAAGATTTTCATATTCTATTAATATTTTAGTGCTGGTAGCTGAGCTAGTATTTATACATTTATACATGTATGTCAGTATAGTTCCCTGGGGATTAGTTTTTATCATCATATAGGTCTTAATGTATCTGTTTACTTTTTTAAAATATAATTTTGTTTTTAGCTGTAGGTAGGGTTGTGCAATTCGGCTGGACCACAATCAGTTTTTGGTATTTGAATTTGATGGGCACCCAGATTTGTTTTCAGGATTCTCCCAAAGTCAGTTAATGGGGAAAAAGTATTTTTCAGCTCAGCAACCAAAAGATTTGGGAATATTAACCCATTGGCGGCAATGGGAAACTTATGAGGCTCCCTTTTACATCATTTTTAGGACATCAGACTTAAGAAACCACATTTTCTGGGATTCTTTCCTCTTATATCCTTCAATGAAACCTACCCCTTCAAATGAAGTTAAATTAGATGGCATGCTCTGGCTCCGCCCTCCACCAAGCCAGCTGGTTCCCATCATGCCTTCCAAGTTCTGTGTTAAAACTTCTATAGGCTGCTTTCCTTCCCAAGCGTCGGTGTTAAAACACTTCTATGGGTTGCTTTCCTTCCAAACCCTGGTATTAAAACACATTTATGGGCTGCTTTTCTTCCCAAACCTCAGTGTTAAAACACATCCTTCAATGAGAGCTGGGGAGGAACTGAATTCTCCTATGGGAACTCAAGGGAGTCAGGCTTGACAAGCATCCTCCCAAATTCCCTTTCACAGCCCATAAATGAAATTGCCAAAGGGAAAGATTGGAATGGAGTCCAAAAGCAAGGTCCTAAGAGCAGTGATGGCACTGAGATAGAACATGGAGCTAGCTAGCATGTGATGTGAGTGGCTTTCTTGTTCTGATTGACTCAGGCAGGTTGCAGGACTCATAGCATCACAGGGAAACACGCAGGGCTGCCTCCCTCCTCACACTCCATATGTAGGTTAAAAAACCCAAAAGCAGTCATTTTCAGCAGCCATGTGGTCTGTTGTGGCCAGAAAAATAAATTCAGCAGAGCCCATGTCATCAAGGCTTCCAAAACAGCCGAAGCCCGATTTGAAAAAGGAATGTGTGCACAACCTTTGTTGTAGGTTTGTTACCAGTAATATTTTTCACTTTAACTTCTGTAGATGATTTAAGTAATTTTTGTGATAGATTTAAGTAGTAGCACAAAACAAAATAAAATAAATACCTTTTTGATGCAATCTTCAGATTGAAATCTAGGTCACTAGAGAAGTTAATGGCAAATATAAATAGCACCCATCACTTTCTGAAAGAAAATAGTTTAAAATAGTTTAAAATAACCCTTTTAATTTACATTTATCTCTAGATTCCATCTTGCACCACATAGAATCGAGTCCTATGCAAAAAACTGAAGTTGACTTTCTGAAACAAGGCAAGTGTATGGTAATCTCTTCAGTTGTTCCTGGAAACAATTTATTGATGCTTCTATAGATGCCAACTGAAATAAAATATGTAATAAGTATACAATGGTGAAACCTGTAAAACAGCAGTGGGTATGGGGAGTAATCCCCTATCCCTAGGACCTTCAAGGACTTTGTATGTAGTCAAATCCTTTCCCCTGTGGAAGTGTCTCAAGTCCATTTGTACTTTTGAAAAATGGGAGCTACTAAAATGTGATCTGCTGGACCTAGAATCTCCTGGGAGAAGTATGTCATCCAAAGGAACCTAGGCAAAGATAGTCCAAGAAGTCCATAGAAGTTGAATGCAGAATATGTCATCCAAAATGTCCAGAATCATTGAATAACTTATTGAATAACTTGGTTCCCAGCCTTGCATAAAGCATTCTATAACATTCAGTCAGTGAATCAATCAAAAAAATCAATCAACATAGCCTTAGGAGCTGCACTTTCCCTTTCCCTTCCCATCCCATAAAAATCCATCCCAAGCATATGTAAAAGAACATTTCTCAGAGAATTTGGACAATGTAAATGAGAATGTTTTGAGCTTCTTTTTGAAATCAAAGAATCCATAGAATGTGCATATCTTCACTGATTACAAAATTATTTTTACTATTGTGTCCCCATAGAATCAGTGGGCCACAGTGTTATTGCTTCAGTTCTATAAAGCTGTGGTAGAAATCATGAGATTTAAAAGAGTGAAGCAATGACTGTGTAATCAGTGAAGGTATGTAAGTTTCATGGCTTCTTTGATTTTAAAAATCTGCTTGAAGAAACCACATTCATTCAAACATACTAATGTGACTTGTAGTTCAACATCTGCTACAAGATTCCCTCCACTGCTATAAAAGCACCTACATAAATACACAGACAGGTGTTTGGGGGGGGGCATGTGTTTTCCATGCCTGCAGGGATACACAGGCATGGAAAGGTGTGTGGTGTGTTTGTTTGTTTTTTCCAAATTCAATTGGGTTTAAAGGGCAGCTTTTAAATGCATGTTTTCCAGCCTTTAACCCAATTCCTCCTGATTCCTCCCACATTTTGGCTAAATATCATTCAGTCACCACCTTTTAACCCAATTTAATACAGGTTATAATGCATGTGTAGAAGGGCCCATCAGTTTGCCTCATTTTCTTATTTGCAGTTCCCCATGCTAAGCACAGGATGTTTCCTAGTTAATTTGTCCTATCCAAATCAAGTAACAAGGACACTGAATTTGGCAGCTCCTCCCTACATTAGGGTAATCCACCCTTTCCACTTTATTTCAGCTTTTAGCTCTTTTCCATCAGAGAAACAGTGCCCTGTTGTTTTGGAACCAGAAAAAGTATGCAGGTTTTGCCCAGACCTGTTCAGATGTTCCCGCTATTTCCCAAGGTATGCTCATTTCATAGAAAGGAAGGACTAATGAATGATAGCTATTTGCCTTGATTAAAAAAAACAAAAGGAATCTGGGGCCTCTTTCACACTGGACAGTTCTAGAGCTAAGATCCAATTTTTACTGCCATGGTTCCAGTCTGTGGGATCCTGAGATTTGTAATTTATGGGGGTATTTAGAATGTTTAGCCAGAGAGGTTTTCTAGTGCATCTCTACACTACAAGCCCAGAATTCCATAGGATGCTACAATAGCATTTAGAGTGGAGTCATAATACTAAAAAGTGATTTGGTATAAAGAGGCTCTTAAATCTCCTCACGAGGACCTCATCACACTAGGGTGTCTATTCACTTATTTTATTTATTTATGTATTTATGTATTTATTTATTTACCATATTTATACCTTGCCCTTCTCATCCCAGAGGGAACTCAATGCAGCCTTACTCAATGCCATACACATATATATTAAAAATAAACAGTCACATTCCATTTTCAATGCTTTGGCTGCCTCTTGCAAAATTCTGGGGTTTTTTAATTTGGTGAGGTCCAGGATCTCTCTGGCTGAGCAGTTTAAAGGCCCCTTCCTGAACTACAAACCCCAGAACTCTACAGGAGGCAGCCTGTAGAGTGAATAGACACTTAAGTGAATAGACACTTAAGTGAATAGACACTTAAGTGAATAGACACTTAAGATTCCTCCCTCTTCTTCTTCTCCCTCTCCTTCTTCTTCTGCTTCCTCTTTTTCTCCTCATCCTCCTTCTCCTTCTTCTTTTTCTCTTTCTCCCCACCCCTTCTCCTTCTCCTCCACCTCCTCCTCCTCCCCTTCTCCTCCACCTACTTCTGTCTTTCTTCTCCCGCTTCTCCTTCTCCTCCCCTTCCTCCTCCTCCTCCCTCTCTTCTCCTCTTTTGTATATTCCCTCTATCCTGAGAATGAACACATATTTCAGCACTCAAAAGGGTGTGTACTTTATCATTATAAAAATCTAATCATATTTCTTTTTCCGGCTGACTTTACAGATCCTGTATTTGATGCCTGTATTTGAAGCTAATATCCTCCTGAATAAAGAGCACTGTATGAATTTCCCAGTGAAGATTTATTGCAATGGAGCATATTTTGTCACTAAAATTGCGGGAGAGACGGGGGGGGGGGGGATGGACGACTGCCATCAGCAGAGCAGGCTGAAACATCCGCATTTTTTAACGAGGATGTTTCTGGAATAAAGGACTGTCTGGATCCGGCCTCAGTTTAAAAACCGACTGTAATCTGAACAGCAGTCAAAAGTCTTCCCAGGAAAGAAGCATTCGACATTTCCTTCCATCAGCTCGCTTGCTGCCCACAGGTGCTGCCATTAATTTATGTATTCACTCATTCAGTTTGAACATGTGAAGGAAATGTAGAGACTGAACAAATGTGATAGATTACAGAATGAGAACAAATGTGAAGGATTCCGGAATATGATAAAACATTCAGCTAAAGTTCTGAAAGGTTCATTAGGAATTACATTAAAAATACTTTAATAGCACTTGACATTTTAAAATGAAAAGCAAATAAAAGAGAGTAAATTTGGAATAAAGGAAAGATATAGCAGTTTGTGGGTGGCATCTTCCAGCTAGATGAAGCCTATTTAATCAATTGGTATATAATGAGTCGACACATAGATAAATCTCTTTGATTTAATGGATCTATTCTAGCCATGACTAAAATTAGGATTTAGGCCATTGTTTGTATATGTGTGCACACATGTGCATTACTAGTGTTGAATTCTTTTCCTAGTAGTTTTTCCTGATCAATAGTACATCCCAGCTATTTTCTCCACACCTAACACTGTTCCAAATTCGTATTTACAAAGATAGCGCTGCGTCAAGAACCCCATGGGGTGTGAATAAGCAGTGAGAGGATTCTAAGTGGAAGAGCAGTTGGCAAAGAACACTTCCCCAAACACTCAAAATCATGGCCTCCCATGATTCCTCTCATTTTCCTCTTTGAAAAATGAGTTTAATTACATGCTTTTGTGTGTAGCTGGCTGGTCAGGTCTCTCTTTGGAAGCACTACCTCTCAGGAAGAAAAAGCAATCGTTAAGTGTTTACCACTCAGCCAAAAAGATGTCTAGATTGTCCTTCTTCCGTGTTAAATATGCAGAGTGAGCTGCATGACATCTCCAGTTTGGAAACAAATGAGAAATCTCAGAGGGATTTGAGGGTCAGCAGTAGATTTTCCGTTATCCATCGCCAAGGACGATGTGTCAAGTGGTGTATTTATCTGCAAAGTAGAAGGGAAATTAACCGTTCCTGGAGCAGTTCACCTGGCATGTGCTGTGAGCAGTACAAATGAGTGATGCCTCACAATAATTACTGAGCCCAATTTTTGCAGATCGCAAGTTACTAGCATATTCACTTCACTTGTTAACGGATTTGTTAGCTGTCCAGAGTGCACAAGGCAGAACAGAAAGCTTGCACTGCTGTTCCTAACATTTCTTAACAAGCTTTCCATTTGCCTCATGAACACAGAGTTGTCAGGCTATCGTGAATCACTTGGCAGACAATATTATTCACAGTTCTTGCATCTTAGAGTGTTAAAAAATAATGTTCTGGAGGGCTCCGCTCATAACACTATATGTTTATAGTCTACATACAGGACAAAAGCTGGCAATCCTTTGTCAAAGTTGGTAACAATTTGGATGTTTATTCTCTCCAGGGAAATATGAATTTAGCATGCAGATTTATAAGCCTTTTGCAATTGGTTAAAGGAACAGAAAAAGTCTGCAATGGATTCATATCGGGATAGGTACAGTCATTATCACACGTTTCCACTGTAGCATTATGGTGATATATTCTCTCTTCTATGCTGCCTTCCTGCCCTGTGATCTACATAGCAAGCATTCCAGGGGTTTTATCACAATTCTTCAAATATGGTATTATTAAGACAACAAAGGAAAGGAAAGTTGGTAGAGGGACAGCCTGCTTGGGAATAGAGGGGAAGAGGAGCAGGTAGAAGAGGACAGTCAGGCCCACTAATGCCCCTGACTGCTGGTATATCGCAACTGCAGCAGAAGAGACCTACTGCATAGAAGGCAGTAACTACAGAGTGGTAACTTCCTTAAGTTAACTTACTTTAGGAACCAAACCTACACAGGGAAACTGTGTGACTACAGTCAATCAAGAGACTAGTTTCTAAAAAGCACCAGGTTATTTTACACATTTGGCATCATTTTTAACTCAGACCATAAAAAACAAATTTTGAGGTGGGATGATATAGATTAAGGATAAAAACAACACACATTGGGTGAGTTAGAGTTGTGAGAGGCTTCCACTGAGATGTTGTGTGGGACATGGCATGCCAGCTGTAATTGGTGATATGTACTGAGAGGACAGCTGAGAAGGGAGTATATTGATCTCACCCACCCTCATAGTTGGAGTTATCATACTTTCCCAATGATGTTCCCAAGTATAGAACTTTACTCACTCCTACATATTAGTAGAGCTGTACCTGCAGGGGGGCAAATTGGCCTATCAAGAATTGTGTTCAATGTATTGTTGTAGGCTTTCACGGCTGGAATCACTGGGATGTATGCTTTCCAGGCTGTATGGTGGTGGTCTAGTAGCATTTTCTCATGAATTTTCACCTGCATCTGCGACTGGCATCTTCAGAAGAATGATGTTAATTATGGGAGAAAAGAATCAAATATACATGTCTGTGGGCTTATCCAGACAGCCACTTTATTGCAAGAGTGTCTGCAATAATAAGGGAGCTGTCCAGATGACATCCTGGACTAACCCAAATTAATCTGCCACAAACCAGGAAAACCCTGGGTTGTGGTGAATTAATTTGATAGTGGGTTTGTTCCACGTCTTCTTGGAAGACATGGGATAAACCTACTGCTTCCGGTGTCTGGACTGCAGTCCAGACAGTGTTCCCAAGATTTTCCGGGTTAAATTAGTCTGGAAAATTGTGAGACCAATCCCCTCCCCCAAAGCCCCCCAAAACAGCATAAAAAAATAACTTACCCAGCCTCCATGAGATGGCTGCTGGAGCTCTCCTGGAGCATACAAATGATGTACCAGAAAAAGGAGGGAAGGAGGAAAATCATCATTCGTATGCGCCAGGAGAGCTCTGGCAAGCCCAAGGAAGTTCATTTGGTTTTTACGCTGCTTTGGGGGGCTTTTGGGGAGGGGGTTAGAGTGTCCTGGCATTCTCCCAGAAAGTTCTGGGAAAACATCTGGACACCCATCCCAGAAAGTGCAAGCTACTTATATTGAAGAGTCAGAGGCTGACAATTACACAATCCATGATGTTGCGATGCTGCTGCCTGGTTTTGATGTTATCTATCCAAAGCATAAAAGTGGGGAAGCTTTCAAGGAAATATTAGCTGCAGACAATTTGGACATCAATAAAATGAAACATAAATTTGAAACTATTCATTATCAGGAGCCTACAGAAAAGTTGTCATACGCTCTCAGCATGTGAGCTGGGAGTTGGTTGCATATGATGATCCCAACTCCCAACTCATCATATGCAACCAACTCCCAGAAAGTGCAGGCTTTCTGGGGTGTGTGCAGATGGACCCCTGGGAACATCTGTGTTTTTAAACATGGATGCTCATGGGATAACGGCCTGTCTGGAAATGCCCCAAGTGAAATATATGGGGTCTCCTAATACTAATAATAATAATTCAGACTCAGAGCAGATTACAGCATTTACATATGTAGGCAAACATTCATTGCCCACCCTTGAAATCTCAACAAGGTTTTTTTTAACAATCTGACATTTAAAACATTTTTATTCAAAATTCTGCAGTCTGGAAGAAAAAATTCACCACCACCACCACCCCCCACCCCCAACTCCAGCTATTTTTACACTCGGCCGTTTTGTGAACAAGAAAGTGAAAGCCTAGCTCATTTCCAGTTTTTCCTGGTTCTTCTGGGCATAAAACAGCCTGTCCCTTTCCCCAAAATGCAGGGGAAATATCCCCCACAATACCATGACAGACATTTGAGGAAATTAACATTTTTAAAATCTAAAACGTTTTGGGAGGAGCTAGGAGGAACACAGCTGAAAACCCATTGAGCATTTACAAATAAACAATCTATATCTGTAACTGTTATGTATTCCTGATGCCTATATAATCTACTAGTTTACTGGTAAGTAGCTGCTTGGACTGATGAGGATTCATCCTCCTACCCATCAAGAAATAGCTGCCTGATTTTTCCATCCTTCCCACACAGAACTGGGAATTTGTCCAATATATTTGGGGTCTCACTGTAGTGAGTATTTATTTGGGAAATGGTTTCTGGCTTCTTTGTTAACATCATGGCCAAATGTTAATAGCTATCAGCTAGGAGCCTCCAGTGACGCAGTGGGTTAAACCCCTGTGCCGGCAGGACTGAAGACCGACAGGTCACAGGTTCAAATCTGGAGAAAGCGTGGATGAGCTCCCTCTATCAGCTCCAGCTCCTCATGCAGGGACATGAGAGACACCTCCCACAGGGATGGTAACACATCAAAACATCCAAGCATCCCCTGGGCAATGTCCTTGCAGATGGCCAATTCTCTCACACCAGAAGTGACTTGCAGTTTCTCAAGTCACTCCTGACATGACCAAAAAAAAAGCTAGCAATGGAAAGGATTAATTTTGTATTAAGTGACTTTGTTAGACACCTTCTGCTTTAGCACCAGCTTGCACCTGGGAAAAGATAGAAAGACTGGGAACCATCCTTTTAGATAACTAATTGTACCATTTTCATGATTAATAAAGAAGACAGATGGGTCACACATGCACACTTTGGGTTTTTTTATTTCTTCTGCAGTATGTAACCCTTGGGAATCCATCTCCCTTTGTCTTTGGGGGGCAAAGGGCATCATAGCTAGCTGCAGGGCAGGGTTGATTACTACATGTAGGATAGTTTGAGCAGATCTAGCTGCTTACAGTTCAATTATATCATAAGATGTGAAGAGATGCCAGACTCCATCCATGAATGGTCTGGAATGCCTCTCTGGTGTATGTATAACCTGTAGCACCACTACTCAATAATTAAAGCATTTTAAGTAATAGTTGTTTGTCTAAATAGTTTTTGGATA